AGTACCTCTCCGGTCACAGGTTTGGACAACAGAGGGGGTTTCCCGAGGTGTTCCTTCAGTCGTTGGAACGCCTGTTCGCACTCTTCCATCCATAGGAATGGCTTGCTTCCTCTCAGGGTATCAAAGAACGGTACGCACTTGTTCATAGATTTAGAGATAAACCTATTAAGTGCGGCTAACAGCCTGTCAGCTTCTGGACCTCCTTGGGCTTCCTTGGCGATCCCATGTCGAGGAGGGCCTGAATCTTCTCCGAATTGGCCTCGATTCCTCGACTGCTCACCATGACCCAAGAATTTTCCTGAAGCGACACCGAAGGCACACTTACGGGGATTTAGCTTCATTTTGTACGTTCTGAGGACGCCGAACATTCTCCTATGGTCCTCCACATGGTCCTCGGTCTTCCTGCTCTTCACCAGCATGTCGTCGATGTAAACCTCCATTGACTTTCTTATTTGTCCCACGAACATCTTGTTGACGAGGTGTTGATAAGTTGCCCCAGCGTTTTTGAGACCGAAGGGCATCACTTTGTAACAGTAGAGACCTCTGTCAGTGACAAACGCTGTGTGTTCTTCGTCGCGGTCGAGCATTAGTATCTAGTTGTACCCAGAGTATGCATCCATGAAGCTCAATAGTTCGTGTCCCGCCGTAGCGTCAACCAGCTGATCGATTCGGGGCAATGTGAAGTTGTCCTTGGGACATGCTTTGTTCAGGTCGCTGAAGTCGACGCATGTTCGCCACTCTCCGTTTGGCTTCCTTACCAGTACAGGATTCGAAACCCACCTGGGGTATAAGACTTCTCGGATGAAGTTGTCTCTAATCAGCTTGTCGACCTCTTCCCGCAGGGCCTCGTACCGCTCGGCGTTCATGCGTCGTCGCTTTTGTCTCTTAGGCAGGCATTTCTCGTCGATATTCAGCCTGTGACACATGATGTCGGGACTTATCCCTTCCATGTCTTCGTGGGTCCAGGCGAACACGTCGAGGCTTCCTCTGAGAAACTCGACCAATCTCTCGCAGGCCTATGTCCCCAATTCAGAGCCCACCCTTAGCATTCTCATCGGCTCTCTTTCATTGATGGGGACCTCGATCAACTCCTCGACCGGTCCCGTTCCGGTCTCTTCTCTTGGGAACCTTGGATCCAAATCGTATTCTTCCGCCATGGTCTCGACCATTCTCAGTTCCCTCCGTACCTGCGTCGGCTCGGCGTAGTGGCGGACCGTTTCTGAGTACGTAAGCCTCGACTCATACTGGTTTTCTCGGACCTTACCGATCCCATTGGGGGTCAGAAACTTCATCATCTGGTGGTAGATGGATGTCATTGCCCTTAAGGCCCTCAGCGTCGGGCACCCTATGACCGCGTTGTATTGGTCGCCTCCCTTCACCACCAGGAACTTTGACATGACAGTCGAGGTGCGCGGCCGGTCTCCAACGGTCATAGGCAGCTCGATCGCCCCTTCCGGGATGACGTTGTCCCCTGTGAAACCGTACAGGGGCTGCGCACTGTTTTGCAGCCTTGCGCGGGGAATTCCCATCTTGTCTAGGCAATCCGAGTACAAGATGTCCACGGAACTACCGTTATCGACCAGGATGCGGCAAACTGAGTGGTTACCGATCATGGCCTCGATGACCAAGGCATCACTCTGGGGGAAATGTACCCCCCTCGCGTCGGCCTCCAAGAAGGTGATCTCGGCGTCCTCGTATCGCGCTGCCTTAGCCTCGCGTCCGGAGACGTTCATAATCCTCTGGCTGAACTTCTCTTTTGCCTCTCGAGCGTACTTCTTCTGTGCGCGTCGAGAGGTGCCGCTGAGGTATGGTCCCCCGAAGATCGTTCTTATAACGCCGACTGGTTTGGGCAGGTTGTCATGCCTCTACTCTTCCCGTCAGTCGTTGTTGTGTCTATTGTTGTTATTCCGACGGTCGGCTCGGTAATCGCTAAGCCTTCCCTCTCGGATCAACCTCTCGACCTCATCCCTTAGGTCATAGCATTCGGCCGTAGTGTGCACACTCTCGCCATAAAACCGACAGTACTTGTTTTGGTTTCTCCTTGTTGGGTCGGACTTCAACGGCGGCGGTCGACGCAGGACCTGGAGATGACTTATCTCATGGTAGACGTCTTCGATCCCTATAGTTAAGGGTGTGTAGGCGTCGTACCGTTGCGGCTTCGGCCGCTTGTTCTCCCCCTGACTCGTCGAGGCGTTGCCGCCTCTGTTACTTGGAACCGGGCTATACCTCTGCTCGGCTTGCACATGAGGGGGACCTCGGCGCTTCTTACCGTTGTTTTGGCCGCTCGCCTGCCCTACCTCTTCCTTGGCAGGGGCTGTCACCTTGCTCTTCAAGGCCTTCTTAGCCTCCTCGGCGTTGATGAACTGGGGTGGCTTCCGGTCGAGGTCTGTGCTGTAGGGGATGTCCTTCTTCATACTCAACAGCGCCCCCATTAAGGCCACCTTATCGGAGATTCCCTTAGTGGCGGCGACCTGCTCCCCAAACCGGGCTATCCAGTCCTTCAGGGACTCGTTGGGTCCCTGGTACACTCTTGAGAGGTTTTGTTTAGGTGGGATGTATTTTTTGACACCTATGAACTGAGTCAGAAAGGCGTTCTTCAAGTCATCCCAACTGGTGATGGAGTTTGGTTTCAGAGATCTGAACCACCTCCTCGCAGAATCGGAAAGGTGATTCCTGAATGCTCGGCACATGACCTCCTTGGGGTATCCATGCAGGACCATATGTCCTGTGTACACCTCGGATCATTCCTTCCGTCATATAACGGAATGAGAGGCGATTTGTACTTGTCTGGGAGTGGCACCCGGATGATGCTATCTGTGAACGAGTGGTCGTGTGACGTGTATATCTTGGCGTCGACATTAACCGCCTCGGCTACCTTCCCCATAACTTGCTCGAAGTTGTTTAATCGACTCCCAATCTGCTTTTCTAGCCTAGCCATCTTCTCGGCCAGAGCCTTATTATCAGCTGTGAGCTCTTCCTCTCTCGCCAGCTGCACGACTTTCCCGCGTCGGGCGTCGAGCCTCGTCCTAAGGTCTCCGCCGTGCGCAGACGAAGACTCCACGGGGACAACGTTCCTCCTATTCGCATCCTGCTGCGGTCGAGGGGGCGCATCCATGTTATTCACAGCTGGCGCCGCAGCCTTCTCTCGCGTTCTCCTCTGTGCTGCCCGTTGTCTACTCCCCACAGACCTATTCGACTTGGTCGGACGGGGATCGTTGGCTCAACTATCACCGACTTCCTCGGCGTCACCGTGTTGGTCACCAATCCCTTGGCCCCTAACAGCGGCGTTCACCGGGTTCATCGACGCATCCTCAAGCGGTGACATTGGGTTCTGCCCTTGATCCCGCCCCGCAAGGGCCGTAGCCATCCTTTCCACGACTACAGCCAGCATTTCGACCTGCTTTTAGAGCTGGTTGATGCGGTCTGGGGGGCTCCCGGCGGCCGGTGGGAGCGGATTCGTTGAGGTCCCAGCGGCGGCGAGATTTTGGGTCGCCTGACTCATTGGGTTAGCCGCCAGTAAGTGGGTGTTCCTGGGAGGCATAGTTGGTTAAGAACTGGATTGAATTTCTGGGCTTAAGGGCCCTCCTTCTAGTGCCAATTGTTGACGGTGTATTTCCGGCAACTCGTGATTACCTCTCCAAAAACACTCACGTTGACACTCACGGTTTGATTAAGGATTAAGACTGAAAAGTAATGTAAAGGAGACAACAATTTTATAGTGGTTCGGCAATAATTCTTTGCCTAATCCACTTGTGCATGCACTAATCTTTCAACCGGTTACAAGCTCTCTTTCTTTTGTAATGAAATGGTGTCTAACCCTCCTCTCGGTCTTCTTGGCTCTATTTATAGGCCTTTACATGTGAATACGTATTCCCCGTTCCCAAGGAGGAAGCCATCTTCTGTCCTCGATCCGCGTGAGGATAGGTGAGTTTTCATGATGACTGCTCCGGGAAATGCGGCTGATCCTTCCTGTCTGCCGCCTGATTTTCTGACTCCTGCAGTAGCAGTCGGATCAATACTTCCCTCTTCGAGTTGACAAGACCGCCGGTAGAGAAGACCGACAGTGTCCCCTCAGTGTCGCGGCCTCCGAAGGCTGAGTCATCGCGCCCGGCACCTCTTCCCACATATGGTCCTTGACGTAGAAGGCACATTAGCCTCGGCCGTTCCCTCGACGCCAACGGCTGATCCTCTGCGGGGAGTCCTCGGCGTCTGTCGTTCGAGAGAGTGGTCGACCTCTCGACCATGGTGTAACAATTACCCCCTAAACTGGAACGTCGCGGTGTGACTTTCCTGGCTATACATCGATGAGGATGCCGCGTGAAAAAATGCCTTCCTGTGAGTAAGGGCGGTTGCTCGCTGGTACAGTGATCATTGCGGCTGGTTTCTTAGGCAGTGAAATAGTCACGTCAATTGCATCAACCGTCACATCCCCATTTCCCATCAATAGAACTTTGTTTTAAACAGTCAGGTTCCGTTAGATTTTACATAATTTTCCATTTTAATATAATGTGCTAAATATAATCTTCAGAAGCATGCATTAGGTGCTTAGCAGGACCCGACCATAGAAAACTCTTCAAGATAATTATGAGAAAATAGGTAAAAGAGAGAGAGAGAGAGAGACCTGGTGTATGGGTTAAGTTGGACAATGGGCATAAGAGTAAGATAATTATGAGAAAAGGTAAAAGAGAGAGAGAGAGAGAGAGACCTGGTGTATGGGTTAAGTTGGACAATGGGCATAAGAGTCATTAGCGCGTAACACCATTAAATTTTAGTCTAGCCAATAAAAACAAAAAGACTAATAAATCAGACTAGAAAATTCCAGTCATATAAAAGCTTTTAGGTGATGATAGTTTTAAGAGTTTTGTATGGTTTAGAATCATGATTCTTTATTATGTTATAATATTTTTTTCTCATAAAAAATTTAAAATTTAAAAATTAAAATTATTAACTATAATTTTAAACTTATGAATTAAGCGTCACCGTATTCTCTGCTCCAAAAGTTACTCATCTGCACCGAAAACCACAATCAACAACAGATAAATATCATTTAGTTTTGGGCGAGAACCACATGATATTATGTGGTACTAGGATGATTCAGAAAATTTTTTGGAAGAATGTCAATAGTATAAAGGACACGTGACTATCAGTGCTCAAGATTTTTTTTTATTATTTTTTATTTTCTTCCTTGGAGAAGAAATGATTAAGATAATTGACACTATGAAGCTAATCTTGATTTTCTGTAGTCTCTGCAAGACTGATTTAGCAAGAATGTGCCAAATTACCTTAGAAAAAAGAACACAAACTCTTCCAATGCTGATTATGTCATCAAGTGTTGAGCATTCCTAAACTTAAAGTAACTTGGGCAGACTTATAAACCAAACAGGAAAATTATATTACAACAACAACAGGGAATTATGACAGTAAAACCAATTTTTACAAAGAATCAGAAAAGAAAGAAAAGAGGAAAAAGTAAAAAAGAAACTATACCTTTCATGCTCTTACTGGCTAATAGTACTAGTAAATTTTTCTTTCCC